CAATGGTTATTCAATTCTTTGTTTTAGGTTCATTAGGTGAGTATATAAGAAAATCAAGTAAAGATTTTCTTATACTTCCATATTACTTAAAATTAAGAATGTTATATGACACTGCTAGAGGAATGAGTTTTCTTCATGAAAATAATATTCTTCATTTAGACCTTAAACCAGACAATTTATTAGTTAATTCTTTATTTGCTGATTCTGCTTGTTGCATAAAAATTACTGATTTTGGTACTTCAAGATTTACTAAGAAAAATAATACAAACTCAGGTGATAAAGGATTGGGTACTCCAATTTATGTTGCTCCAGAAGCTTATAGAGATGAATATACTCCAGCAGGAGATGTATATTCATTTGCTATAACAGCTTGGGAAATTTTCTATCAAGATGAACCTTATAAAGAATTTAAATCATTATTTGATATTAAACAATATGTTGAAGAAGGTAAAAGACTTGTAATAGATGAAACAATGCCATTGTTATTAAAAATAATGATAGAATCATGTTGGAAACAAAATCCACAAGACAGACTTACATTTGAAGAGATTTGTTGGTCTTTAGTAAAGATGATTGATGATGCTCCAAATCATTTGAATTTAGACAGTGCTGTTGATGAAGAAAAAATTAAAGACTTTGTAACATCAAGACAAGCACGTGTTCAAAGTATGTTAGATGAATATTAATCATTTAAAAGATGAAATGAAACATTTCTTTTTTTTTTGTATTAATTCCATTTTACATTAATTTTTGTTTTTCTTTTTAATTTTTTTATTTGTTATTATTAAATTGTTAAAAAATACATTAAAAAGACATTATAAACAATAGTGAATTATTTTGAATAATGAACTTGTTTGTGTGACTTAGAAGAACATAAATTAGATCTTCCTCCAGAAGTAGAACAGAATTTAAATGGGAAATTAGAAACTGATTGGTATGGACCTAGGTCATCATTCAATACACCTCCCCAATAATCTTGGAATGTTTTGACTTGGTCACCAACAAAATATTCAATAGGTGGAAGATGCATTCTTATTACGGCAAGTAATGTTCTCCAATCATATCTGAAAGAAATTGCATTACTATTTCTTTGGGATTTTAGATAATCATAGGCAGTGTCAACATCACTTCTAAGTGTTTTCCAATCTACGTTATTAAATGGATATGTTGATTGAATTGTACTAATGAAATATTCAACATCTTCTTTACTCAAATTATAATCATACACCTCTTTATTTGGAACTGAATCAACAGCTTTACAAACAATTCTAATGTCAGTGGTATGTCCTCCATATCCATCTAATTTACAATCCGTGCATGGATCCATATCTGCATTACATCCATTTAGCATTTGGATTAGTTGAGTATCAAAAACACCTCTATTGTATGTATACATAGCAGTAGCAAATTCAAGAGAGTCTCGTTGTTCTCGTTTGGTTCGTTTAGACAATGCGTCTCTTAATCCAACCTTCTTCATGTTCATTACTAAATTATGCCTGAAATGGAAATCTAA